GCTGGTCCAGAGACAGCACCCCAGAACCACTGCACACAGTAACACCCTACTCAAAATCCCCCAAATTTTGTTTCTGGCAAAAGAAGCTATGCATTTGTACTTTTTTCCTCCTTAAGTGACAAATATAGAGTAATATATAATGTTACCATTCAAAATTTATTTATTTATTTTTGGGTTTTCCAGACAGGAATTCTCAGTGAAACAGCCCTAGTTGTCCTGGAACTAGCTCTGTAGACCAGGCTAACCTTGAACTCACAGAGATCCACCTGCCTCTGCCTTCCAAGTGCTGGGATTAAAGGTGCATGCCACCATCTCCTGAGTGAATTGGGAGCCTGGGGGTTGAGGGGCAAAAGGGGAGTGGGAAAAATGTATAGATTAAAAAATACAATAAAATAAAAGAATATTACTAGCATGTGAAAACTGCTGCAGTACATCAGTAGGTTAAACAGAAGTAATGTATTACTAAACTGTATAGAGAAATGCCTGAGTATATATGGTAAATGAACATCTGGAAAGAAAACAAAAGCAATGTCCAGTGTCTCTGAGTAGCAGAGCTGCAAAAATTATAGTTCCCTTTTTTGTGTGTGTGTACTTTTTATATTTTCTAGTTTGAGGTATGGTTCATATAACTAGAAATAAATTATTAAAGCAAATCGCAGAAGCAAAGCTGCTTGGGTATGATATAAAATTAACCAAGACAGTTTGGAAGCGCGGCTGTGACTTTGCTAGCCCTTTCCCTGAAGAGAATGGCAGGTTACCTGAGTCACCTGTCCTGCCTGACAGAGTTTTGCCCTCGTGCACCCAAACGGTGTTGACCTGAAGGCCTCTAATTACGGCATCTCACGGCTACTTACATATAACATTCGTGGCATTTTCTCAGTGTTAACCACTGGAGTCCCCAACTGCATCCTCGCCGGCCGTTCCCTCCTCAACCCTTGGCAGTGGCTCAGAAGTGGTTTCCAGGAGGAGCTTTTTGCCTTGCTTTCATCTCAAATCGAATTACTGGTTCAAGCCATATCAGAACTTTAAAAACTATCGCTGAAGTCAATGTTTCAAGGATTTTGTCTGCTACAGAAAGCTCTTTAGTTGCCTGGCATGAGGGTTGGACAGCCCAACTCAGTGTCCTCAGCACTTGCACTTCTGAACCTCCGAAGATGGAGGCAGTGGCTATTTATTTATTTATTTATTTATTTATTTATTTATTTATTTATTTTTAGCAGTTTTGTTTTGTTGTGCTAAAGCCACTTTTCTGGAGACAGTGGTAACTGTTTCAGATACTGGAGAAAAGATATTTGATTTGATTTGATTTACAGGAACTCCACTCCCAACTACATTTGTTTGTTCAGGGGCTGGTGCCAATGGGACAAACTATCCGAACACGCTGTCCATAGCTGCCCTGATGCCACCATGTGCTTGCTCCATCATCCCCCTCGCAGCTGTTCCCGAGAAAAGAGAAACTAGGACTTTCGAATGTCTGAGTGATGGTGTTTTTATTGAGGTAGCACTGTTTTATAGCCGGCGTTTTTTAGCACCCACCCGCACGAATATCATTATTTCCTAACAAATACAATTTGTGCTTGAGGCGGTAGGTTTTTATAAAACACTTTAAAGACTCTTCCCATGTAAATGTTTGCCCCATGGGTTTGCTGTCCTTAGCAGAGTGACTGAGTCTGCTTTATGTAACTGGTGTTTCGGGACTGGCAGTTCACTCCCTTGTCACAGTAGCCCTGTCCAGCGATGGCAGTGCCTTCTATAATCGACATGTTCTGAAAGAAGTAATGAGAAACATGTGCCCCGAACTGGCTTCCTTTAGCGATAGCTAGAACTCCGACAGTTAGCCCTGTGCTTTCTGCCCATCTTCAGGTGGAGCCCCCAGCTGCCTTTCTCCCAGTAGCTTAGCTTCCCTATTCCTCTGGTACATGAAAACCAACAAGTTTTTTGGGGTTATATTCCTATCATCACGGTGTATACCACGGCTCACAGAAAATCCCAGATGAAGGTTTATATTAATCAGCAGTTTCCATCTCATTCTCTGCTGAGTCTGCAGGAGCTCTTGAGTTGGAAGGCTTTGCTTGAGCTCTGTTAGTCTAAATCCACCTGTAGCCTCTGCCTGTTCGACTGGCAGGGACGTCTCCCCCTCCAACTGTTTGCCAGAGTTCCTTTAGCAAGCCAGCATCTTTCAGTGGGAATCGGTGTGTTATTGTCACTTATGACGATTGTTTTTAGATGACGCAAAGCAGGGACAATATCTTTGTATCTCCAAGTGTTCATATTCAGGCGCATGACCACAGAGCCACATCGTGTGGCCATGGAGTCCTCTCTTCCAATGTCTCCAGTCACCATTTACACCTTGTGACTGTGTATTCCAGAAATGCAAGAGCTAGCAGAGCCTGGAGGCGCGGCTGTTTGTGTGGTCTGAAAGCTTTGAAATAGGATTTTCTCAGCATCGTAAAAGAACAAAAAGAAATTATCCTTTCTCAAAATAAATGGCAGTAATGGAAGCAGCTTTTCCTGCCACAGATAAAAGCCTGAGAATGCAAAATCAGCTTTTGAAATAATTAACTCACAGTGATTTAAATAAAAGGGGACCACAAAGCATCATGTACTACCTGCTCCCAAGTTTGGGTACGTGTTCTTGTTATTGAGACTTAGGAAGTACATCATGTACTTGGTAGGGAAAGCTAACAAGACTAGAGATAAGAACTCATTAGGTCAAAATCTCAGGTTTTTCTTACTTGATGGGGACTTCTTTGCATGCTTTGGTCCGTTTCGCCTCTAGCGTTGCTGTTCCCTGGGTAAAGTTCTCTATCCCAGTGATGGGAAACAAAGCGGGCTTTTGATTATTTGAGGCATTAGAAGGATTTAGGGTCACTGTGCCTCCAGCTTTTTCTCATTTATCTACAAGGCTATGGTGAGAAAAGGAGGGGTTTCAAATCAAAGCTTCCCCGCCCCCCAGCCCACCATTACCACTTGAGAGGCTTTGTGCACTCAGCAAGTCGCTTGGTTTTCCTGAGCTTGTTTATTTGTTTGTAAACCCACGTTTCAAATGCTCTTCTGCCTTAATCCTGTTCTGTGCTCAGGGCAGAGTCAAGATAAGTTTGCTACACTATAAAGTGCGTCACAGGATTCAGGTGGGCCCTTTGCAGTTCCCCTTTTACAGAGGTGGAACAATGGAAAGAGGTTAAGCAGCCTATTAAAGGTCACAGAACTAGTCAACGAGAGGTCTGGGTTCACAAAATGATTCTGTAATTACACCGTTTCTCAGCACTGCGCTGCTGACATTTGGGGGCATCTGAGGGGGCTGTCCTGTGATTTTTTTTTTAGGACACTCAACAACAGCACCTCTACCCCATTAGGCGTCAGTCACCACCACCTCCTGGTTGGTGACAACCAAGACTTTCTCAGAGTCTAGTCATATGTCTGCCTCCAGAGCTAAATTTCCTAGCCATTTTCACGATGGTGTCCATTGCTCTTTTAACTACTCCATGTCACAGAAATTTGCAGAATTAAAAGAGCTAACTGATTTTGTCTTCATAAGGTGGTCTTTTTCTCTCCCAGCAGACTGCATAGAAGCATCATAACCACTGCCCTCAGTGGACCCTTTGTGAAGCTCAACGACCTGTGTTCTCCCATCCCATCTAATTCTATAACTATTCCTTGATCCTGAATGGGGCACACACGAGTCTCTCTTGAACACCCCTTCCCATCTGGTAATGGTGGAAAAGTGGGAGACAGAGAGGGAAAAGTCACATGAATATATGTAACATATTATCTTCTAATAAACATTATATTTGTATTATTTATTCATAGTTTTTGAGACAGGGTCTTACTATGTGACCCGGGCTAGCTTACACACTCTAAAGAGCCTGGTCTGCCCTGAAACACATTTCCGGCCCTCAGCCAGTCTGTTATCTATCTCAGTTAATCATCACAGAAAGCCCTGGAGGTTTGTACGGGTTGTAATTGTCCTCTGTTGGATGCTGTTTAGGACCCTGTTCCCTCCACTGTGGTGCTCTCATTGCAAACCTGGTGTAGGTCAGGAAGTTGACATGGAAACTCAGCAGGTGCCTTCCTCAGCACCCTGTGAAGGGTAATGTCCTCTGAAGCACTCTTCCCTAGAGCCGCTGCCTCCTGCACAGCAGGGTGCCGCCTTTTCCCTTTCCTTGTAACAGGGATCGTTAACTACACGCCCCTTATACTGTGGCTGGCACATAGGCACCAGCTTCCCTGATGCCATTAATACTTCTCTGAGAATGGGTGATTACTTCCGTCTGGTCTAGTGCAAGCTTCCCAAACTTTCCACTCTGGTTAGCATTATCTCTTTGTTTGACTGTCCTGATGTTAGTGCAGTTCCCAATTTATTGTCACCTCTGAATTAAAATGCCATAAACATTTATGACTGGCTGTCATTGCTTGTTTCTCCATTATTAGAACTATTGGGAAGTTCCAGGCGTTTGATCTGGGCCTTGTGGAAAATATTTTGCACATAAACCTGTGTGAATCAAGTTTTGCTTTAAACACTAAGTGCAGATGAATTGCTACTGGCAAACACAACAAGTATAATTGCATATGATTAAAAGTATCAGCATGACCTGCAGAGAAGAAGATGTACTTACCAACAGTGTTAAGGACGTAAAATTGCCCGGTAGTCTTCTAGACTCAGAATTCTGCTATCAGAATGCCTAAAAGAGTGGTTCGCACCACTGAGAACATGAACTAGATTGCTTCATGGATATATAACTTTACTGTCAATTAAAACTCTATTTTTCCTTTAAAGTGGATGTGAGTCATTCTAATTACTTGATGGTTCATTTAAAAAGGATTGATTGGTTCTTGCTGTAAAATTCAATGTCTGTCTCGCCTGAGTCACTTCTTTGGATTTGGGGAGATTGGTCTGTATCCTGTTGACCAGATTTTGTCCTCTCGCTCGGATTTGATGTGCAGCCCGTCATTCTGTCATGTACTGGTGGTAAAGTATTGTGTCTTCCCCCCTCCCCCAGGTGGCCTTTTTGAAGATGTAGCCGTTGAAGCTGAGGCTTTCTGGTCTACCAGCAGACAGCTCCCCAGCACAGAACAAAGCCAAGGCCTGGAGTCAGCTCTGTGAGCACAGTGTGCCAAGATGAACAAGAACTAGAGCTGCAGAAAGAGGGCTCTGTGCTAAAGTTTCCAGTTTATTTGTTTGCATTTATTCTCCGAGAGTTGACTATAGATCCATGCAAACCCAAGGCTGTGCGGAAAGTCGTAGTAGCAGGTTGTCGGCAGGTTAAGTAAGTATAGAAGTTGCACCTCTACTTCCCACAGAGAGGAATATTCAAGTCTGTGCTGTGTCAGCACCACCTGGAAGCATATTAGCTAATGGAAACCCATCTGTCCTGTGTGAACACAGCGAGGAACTTCATTGGGGAGCTGAATGTTAACTGCTGTAAGCCCTGGGAAATAAACTTTTAAAGAGCTCTGGGTTTGTTTAAAACATTTTTTAAAAACTAAAATATGCAATTTTTCATATCTTATTCAAAGAAGGTGCTTGTTGGTGTTACCGAGTGAGTGATTATCCAATTAAAGTTTCCCTGAGGGTGTAAAACCATGTGTGTTCTCTTTGTTCGTATTTCCTTCACCACACGCTATTGCAAATTAACAAATGCTGGCTTCTTAGTATAAACTTACCTGGATTCCTATGTGCCCAAACAAGAAAACATTGAGACTGATAAGAGCTGAGCCTAATCCTGCAGAACCCAGGCCAGCTCCCGATTTGATGGAGAAGACTTGAGACTCACCTAGAATCGTAGAGCTTGGCTCAAGCAGGGACTGGATTGTGGTTGATCTCCCCTGCCAATGATCCATCCATGTTTTGCCTCCCTACTGCACATTCAGGAGGACATTCCCAGAGTCTGCAACCATCCCTTCTGTGGATCTCACCTGGTGGTGTTAATCCTAAATTTCCAGTCACCTAATAATACAATACCTCATGCTCCCAAACAAGTTTTCTGTCCCCTCATCCCCCAACATTCTTAGCTGTAGGTATCACTTGCCATCCTGATTTGGCTCCTCTTGCTTGGAGTTTACCCAACAGAGCAGTAGGATTAGGGATTAGAGCAAAATTAGCTTTTCTGATTTTGTAGCTAGTAGACTGGCTTCTGCTGGATCCTGCAGTGTCTCTTTATTAAGCACAGTTGGAAACCCTGATGTTCTTGGTGTTATGTCCAAGACTCCAGCCACAGAGAATTAGTTTGACTTCACTTAAGCTGCTAGGCTCCCAACACCATGCTGACTTTTCATGTTTTTAATTTTTGGCAGTACTTGACCTCAGTACTTTATCCATTGGGCCTGGATGATTCTTTGCTATAGGAAAATGCCCTGTGAATACAGGTTCAGAAGCATTTCTGACCACTACCTACAAAAGCAGGCAATATATTTGCTTTTGTTCCCAGCTCTGTTGTCCAAGTTGTGGGCACATGGTTGACAGAACTGACTGCTTTTAAGAAACATTGCTGCAAGAGAGGTGGCCTAAGAAATAAGACTTGGTGACTAGCTACTGGTATATATCACTGATTATATGAGTTTTTAAAATTCTGAGCCTTCTGCCACACGGCCTAGACTAAGGGTCTCTTTGTGTGTGACTGTTCAGCTTGTATGAAGCTAATGGTAGTGAATGAGATAAATCATAGATACTGACATTTAACCTGTGCAGTCAAAAAATTTTCCTCGGTAGTAGTTCTGCTCTTGTGGAGAAGAGAGAAGTCATGAGCATACAGATGTATATTTATGGTTAAGGTGGTCATCTTTCCAAAGATATAACTAAGAGACCATGAGGTGACTTAGTTGGTAAAAGGCTGCAGCATAAACATGAGAACCTGAATTTGATCCCAACATGAATGTGAAAGTGATCACTAGTGGATCACTGGATTCCATGCAATCTAGCTTAAGTAAGCCCTGAGTCCCCATGAGAGACTCTGTCACAAAAAACAAGGTAACTCCTGGGGAACAATAACTGAAGCTGGTCTCTGGCCTACACTTAACACTGGCACAAACATGCATGCATATGTAAAAACATACATAACCTCCTCAAAAAACATGCTAGAATATTATTCTTATTTACTAAATTTGTCTTGCTAAGTTATTTGGAGTCAAATGTATAAGAACCCCTGCTTTCCATCTGTGGTCCCAAGAATAATCAAGTCACCTACATTTCTGGTGATCTACTGTGGTCTGGTGAGGGGTGGAGGGGACAATGAATGGGAGAAATGGAGGAGTGGGTAAGAGGAGACCACACCATGCCCACAGGACAGGTGGTCTCTTACTGTGCTTTTAATTTCATCGGCCATATCATTTAAACTCTTAGGCTTATTGGTCTGTACTCATTCTTCCATGGTTGGGAAAGGAGCACCTGCTGAGCTGGTGTTCCAAGTCGACTGTTAATGTCTACTCAGTGGGAGGGTCCGAATCTCTAAGGATGCTGTGGATGCAGATAGGAGGAAAAGAGAAATAGAACCTTTCTAAATGCAGTTATCTCTTTGTCTAAATAGAAGAACTTTGCTCTGTGTATATATGACAATGGGCAGAGACAGTCACACACAGAAGAGATTTAAATTCAGGTCCATCCTGATAGGAGGACATGAAAGAACTGAAATGGGCTGTATAGTGAACTCTGACCCTAGGAACTTACTCCAAAATCATTTCCTGTGTCTTGTGACTATATATTTATAATTCCCAAATCTACTCAGCACTACAAGAGTACAGAATCACAGAATTTTGGCACACCATTAAGAGGACCAGAGGCAGGGTAAAAATAAATTGCCAGTCCATGCTCTGATCTCTAAAGTCTGCTGTAAATAAGAGTTCTGTGAACCCAACTCTCACCTAGTATAAAATTACAATAGATAAAACTTTGACGGGTCACCTATAAGTTTGACCAGTTAATGCATGTTTTATTAACTACTTCGTGCCAAACAACGTTATGGGTTCTCCAGGTAAGGTAATGGTTTTGGCTCCTACAGCTCACCGTCTCATGGAGGGAGCAGACAAGAAGCATGATGTTATATTATGTTATTATTTTGTTTCATTGTGCTATGTTATTTCAGAAAAATAATAAAACTGAGCAAAAGAGGTAAGATTGGGAGGTATTATTGTAGAAAAGAACATCTAAATTGAGCTTAAGGTCTTTATAAATCTTAGGTGCAATATTTGATCAAAATACTTGTTCTCTTGGGGGCTATAATCCCAGGACTCAGAAAGTTGAGGCCAGAGCACTGCAAGTTCAAGGCCATCAGCATGGACCATGTAGTGAGATCCTGTCTCAAGGCAGCTCCAACAAGAGTACTTTGAAGATGAGTCATAAAATAGATTGCACACAAACTACAGTTTTGAGGGGGGGGGGGGTCTGTCCTGCCTAGTCCCACAGCTGTTCAGTCCCAAAGAAACAAACAGTGGTCTACATTAATCATAAACTGCTTGGCCCATTAGCTCAGGCTTTTTATTAATTCTTACATCTTCAATTAGCCCATAATTCTAGTCTATATTAGCTGGGTGGCTTGGTACTGTTTTATCAGTGAGGCATTCTCATCTTGCATCCTCTGTGTCTGGGTGACAGCTGCAGACTGACTCTTTCCTCTTCCCAGAATTCTCCTGTTCTGGTTGCCTGGCCTCTAGTTCCTGCCTGCTCACCCCACCTATACTTCCTGCATGGCTACTGGCCAATCAGCATTTTAATAAAATACAAATGACAAATCTTTACAAAGTACATGACCATTGTCCCACAGCACTACAGTTTTAATGTCATTTTGCCAAAAAGTAGCTTGGCTAAATAAGGGTCCACTAATATTAGCCAAACTTGATTCCACTGATTCCAGATAAAGGACCTGATTAGAACCAAATGCAGACAGAATTGCCTCTAATTAAGCTTGCTCAGTGCTGCTACAGCAAAAATGCTGACGTGTTGAGCAGTTTTGCACAGCAGGTAAAGACACTTCATTGTCACTCCTGTACATTGTGGGGGGGGAGGGGAGCATTCTTAATGTAAATTGAAATTGGAATCTGCATTATGGTATAATTTAGGGGTGTAGATTGACTGATATATCCTAATCTATACTTAGAATCACCATTTATCTTACAAATCTAGAAGAGAGGGAGTTTCCACTAATCTAAAAATTCTATACACTTCAGAGTATACAGTCAGGACCATTTAGTATGATTATATGCAACAATCGCTCCCTTTCCACCCTGAGATGCTCAAGATTTCATCTTCCAAATTAGCCCATTAGTTCTTGATCTCAGGGGGACGTAGGAGAGCCCCATGGAGATTAGCTATTATAAGTAAGTGCTCCAGTTATAAGAATGACAGACACAAACCTGCTTGAAGCATTTTAAAATTCATTGGATCTGCACTATTAATTTTTAAGGGGCTCAATTTTCATGTTGGAATAAAGTAAACCAGCTAGTTCTCAATCTTGTTATAAACTAAGAAATCCACTAATTTATTCAAGGTGCAATAAACAGAGTATAGGGTTTATAGCCCCACCGATTAGTTCTGCTTCCACTGGACCCACCAATGGCCTTCTCCGGCACTCTGGTCAGAATGGGAACTGCTCTTAGAATGATCCTGTTATTTAGTTTGCTTTCTATGGCTGCGATAAAACCAGGAGCAAAAGCAACTTGGGGAGTGTGGTGGTTTAAATCGGTCCCCTAGATTCATGTGTTTGAATGCTTGGCCAATAGGAAGTGGTACTTTTAGAAGGTGTAGCCCTGTTAAAGTAGGTGTAGCTTTATTGGAGGAAGTGTGTCACTGTGGGAGAAGGTGTTGAGGTCTCATAGCTCAAGCTACACTCAATGTGGTATACAATCTCTTCCTGCTGCCTGAAGATCAAGATGTAGAACATTCAGATGCCTCTCCAGTACCATGTCTGCCTGCATGTCACTATGTTTGCTGCCATGATGATAATGAACTAAACCTCTGAACTCTAAGCCAGCCCAATTTAAATGTTATCCTTTATAAGAGTTGCTGTGGTCATGGTGTCTATTCACAGTAATAGAAACCCTAACTAAGAAAGAAGTTGGTACCAGTGACTGGGGTATTGCTGTGATAGGCCTAACCATGATTTGCTTTGGAGGAATGTGGACTTTGGGTGTTTGTATTAGAAAAGCAGTTGAACACTTTAAGTGGGGCCTAGTGGATCATACCAATAAGAACACGGAAGGTGGTAATGCTGAAGGTGAATTGAACTGTGTGGGTCTGGCTCAAGTGGTTTCAGTGGAGAATTTTAATATGTAGCCAAGAGACTTTTCTTGTAATATTTGGGTGAAGAATGTGACTGCTTTTTGCTCTTGTCTGGAGTCTTCCTGAGGCTAAAGTGAAGAGATTTGGATTAATTCTGTTGGCAGAGGAAATCTCAAAACAGACTGGTATTGATTGTGTTGTGAGGTTTTTAGTGACCACTTTTGTGAAGATCTATAATGAAAAAGAGCAAGCTGAGCAAGTAAAAATAGAAAATGTACAGATTGAGGAGAAAGGGGGCATGAGAAAGTAGAACAGATCTAAATCCTGTGTTCAAGGAGACAAACAGATTAAGAAATAGAATAAA